ACTCTTTTTTTGAGGAAAATCAAGTTAAAACGCTTTTAAAATAAACACAGGAATCTTGTGGAACGAATGGCCTAACTTTAATTAGGCATATTTGTTTAAAGTTTCTCGAGATTCTTTATTGGTTTTGCGGAAGCAGAAGAACTTAGTAACTGGACATGTTACATTTAATTTAAATATTAAATATATACATATATATATATATAAAACAGTGTGTTGCACAGTACTGCTTTCAACTTTCTGAAAATCAAAACAAAGTTACAATGTCAGAAAAATAATAATTCTTTTGCTTGAAAGGTGCTGTGGAACAATTGATATCCGGATATACTAACAATAGCCGAGACATGTAAAGAACTATAAAATAATTGATTTCTCTCCCACTTTTTGCCTAAGAAGTATTATGTATTGTAAGAAAATGACAAGTTTGAAGTTACTATGGACCCTCCTGGGGATACCGATGACCCGGATTTGAAGTTTTGATGGCCACCTACCCACCCCCATAGTCACACATGATGGCACTTTGGGTGCTTAACACTTGAAAGTGTGCCACATTCAGTGACTGTGTTTTGTGATAGTTTTTGCCAAATACCATTATTTACTTCTGTTGTTTTTTTTTGGCAAAATCGGTCCAAGCTACACCTCTTGGCCATGTAGACAGGAGGCACCAAAAATGGGCACAAATAGCAGATTAGATTAGGCCAGTAGTGGCGAACCTATGGCACGGGTGCCAGAGGCGGCACTCAGAGCCCTCTCTGTGGGCACACACGCCATCGCCCCAGCCCCGCCACCCCCCATGGCCCCCTCACCAGCAGCCCCCCTCGGAGGAGAGTTGCTCCGGGTGCAGCCTGCGCAGAGCAATGCAGCCAAGGACATGGCAGCAGAGACAAGACTCTGCCCTCGTGCCCCATTGCGTACAGATGATGCTGTGGGGCGCGGGCAGAGGGCGTGACCGCCATGATGTTGCTGGGCCGCCTGGGCGATCTGCTGTGGCGGGCCGTGGAGGTGGTGGGTGGCCCTACGGGCAGGAGAGGCGGAGGCAGGGCAGGGGCGTGGCGGTTTTGGGGCACTCGGTCTCTAAAAGGTTCGCCATCACTGGACTAGGCTATGCAGCTTGCACAAAACCAGAGCTGACTAAGACTGGTTGATTTTGAAAATCTGAAGAGTACAAAATAGCCTGCCCCTGTTCTGTAGTTGACCATAATGTCAAATGCAGTCACTATTGAAAAAACCATGTGAGATAGGCTAACTTCCTTTGTTTTGGTTTCCCTTTGCTGTCTTTCCAGGCTTTCAGGATGGTGTGAGGTCAAGTTCAAACAGTCGGAGTGGCAGCCATGATCGACATGAGGAGCACACGGACACATCAGATAGCGAGTCTTTCTCTCTGCAGGTCCGCAAGCTCAACCAGCAGCCTCAGATCCGCAAGCCGGGTGAACGGGGCTATGATCCCAACAGGTAATACCCAGGATTAATGAGTGAACAACAATTTAAAGCCACCTTCCCCAGCCTGTCACTCTCCATCATGAGGGTTAGCTATAAGACAATTGGAGAGGAGCAGAATATGCCCAATCGTTGTGTTCTCGGTTGAGGACTACCTGCTTGAAAATCTTCACAGGCTTAGTTCTGCTGGTTGGAATTCCTGGAATCATCATTCCAACATATATGGAGGTCACCTAGTTACAGAAAGATGAAACCCTTGGGGCTTGTTTGCTTGATTTCTGAGGTTGTGACCATAGAAACTGGTCTGGCATCCATCAGAAAAGACCAGTTTGATTTCCAACTTCTAAATATTGGCTGAGACTTATCTCTGAAGTGATGGTCAGACTTCATGATGCTGTTACCTTTTTATGGAATATTTTGCTTAGCTTTATTGTATTTTTATGATTGTGTCACTTAAGATTCTCACGAAGTACCCAGCTTATTTTTGTGTTTGTGGTCTGAAAGCAATAGTAGTAGTAGTAGTAGTAGTAGTAATAGTAAAGTTGGAAGGGACCTTGAAGGTCATCTAGTCCAACCTCCTGCTCAGGCAGGAAACCCTATACCATTTTGGACAAGTGGCTGTCCAGTCTCTTCTTAAAAACTTCCTGTGTTGGTGCATTCACCGCTTCTGGAGGCAGATTGTTCCACTGGTTACTTGTTCTAACTGTCAGGAAGTTTCTCCTTAGTTCTAGGTTGCTTCTCTCCTTGATTAGTTTCCACCCGTTGCTTCTTGTCCTGCCCTCAGTCACTTTGGAGAATAGCTTGACTCCTTCTTCTTTGTGGCAGCCCCTGAGATATTGGAAGACTGCTATCATGTCCCCCCTCGTCCTTCTCTTCATTAAACTAGACATACCCAATTCCAGCAGCCGTTCCTTATATGCTTTAGCCTCCAGTCCCCTGATCATCTTTGTTGGTCTTTATGCTCTTTGTTGCTCTTTATGCTACTTAAAATGGTATGTGTTTGTACTATTTAGAAACAAGTGTCTCCGGTTTGTGTCTAACCTTTAACTGGTGAAATGATAAGTTTCAAGAGGATAAATTCATAATAAGGCCAAACCTCTTATTGTTATCGATGTGTTATAGTCCAGTTCAAATGCGGTCCTTCCTTCAAGCATCAGCATGCCCAATATTATGTCCAAGGGATTGTGCAACTCCTTGTAATTATGAGCTAAGCAGTGTTATCTCGTTCTGAGTTATAATGGAAGTTCCCTCTAGGGCGCCCCAAGAATAACCCCTCCACTAGTCCCTCATTACTATTTTCTCCACTGGTTAGATACCGGCTGCACTTCGAGCGGGAAAGCAGAGAGGAAGTGGAGCGGAGGAAAAAGATTGCCCGGGAGAAAATCTTGGAACCGGTGCCAGAAACCGAGACAGAAGTGGACATAGAAGATGTTTACAAGACCGGATCAGGTAGGTGAAGATGGTCAAGAAAAAAGCTTCTCGGTGGGTGAGTGAATCTGAAGGGCTTCTCTCGCCTTCCCCCTGCCATTTTCCCGCTCTTAACAGACTTCCTTCCTGGGCCTCTGAAGGTCTTGCTTCAGGCAGGAGATCTATTTACGCTGAGGAGCTTTTAATTATCTGAAACGCACGAACGAGTCTGAAGATTCAGCACGAACATTCTGCTCCTCCGTCTGTTTCTAAACGCAGCATAAATCTCCTCCTGGGTTTTTCCGACAAATGGCCTGCTGGCGGAAAAAAAAAATGGAGTTCCAGTCCTAAGATAGCTGAAGGACATCAAGTTGGGGAGGGCTGGTTTGGATACAAGACACTGTTTTTGCCCAATTGTGCTGATTCAGCTGAATCTCAGAATCAGAATAGAGCTGGAAGGAACCTTAGAGGTCTTCTAGTCCAGCCCCCTCTCAAGCAGGAGACCCTATACTATTTCAGACAAGTGGCTGTCCAGTCTCTTCTTAAAAACCTACAGTGATGGAGCACCCACAACTTCTGAAGGCAAGCTGTTCTACTGGTGAATTGTTCTCACTGTTAGGAAGTTTCTCCTTAATTCCAGGTTGCCTCTCTCCTTGATTAGTTTCCATCCGTTGCTTCTTATCCTGCCTTCTGGTGCTTTGGAAAATAAGTTGACCCCCCCTCCTCTTTGTGGCAACCTCTCAAATACTGGAATACTGCTATCATGTCCCCCCTAGTCCTTCTTTTCTCTAGACTGGCCAAACCCAAATCCTGCAACCATTCTTCATATGTTTTAGTCTCCAGGCCTTTAATCACCTTAATTGCTCTTCTCTGCACTTTTTCCAGAGCCTCAACATTTTTTTGTAATGTGTTGACCAAAACTGGATGCCGTTTTCCAGGTGTGGATTTACTAAGGCTTTATAAATTGGTACTAATACTTCACGTGATTTTGATTCTGTGCCTCTGTTAATGCAGCCTAGCACTGTTTATACAATCAAAGATTGTATTAGCTTTTTTGGCTGCTGCTGCACACTGCTGGCTTGTTAAAGTCTTTATAATTTCACATTCTTCGTACAGGTAGTCCTTGACTTACAACCGCAACTGAGCCCCAAATTTTTGATGAGAAAAGTGAGAAAGTTGTTAAGTGAGTTTTGCCCCATTTTACAACCTTTCTTGCCAGAGCTGTTAAGCAAATCACTGCAATAGTTAAGTTGTAAAGTGAATCTGGCTTCCCCATTGACTTTGCTTGTCAGAAGGTTGCAAAAGTTGATCACGTGACCCTGGGACACTGCAACCGTCATAAATAGCCAGTTGCCAAGCGTCCGAATTTTGATCAAGTGACCATGAGGATGCTGCAACGATCATAAGTGTGGAAAACGGTCATAAATCACTTTTTTCAGTGCCATTGTAACTTCAAACAGTCACTACACTAGGGGTAGGCAACCTTGGCTCTTTTATGACTCGTGGACTTCAACTCC